GCTCCCCCCCCCCCCCCCCCCCGCGCCAGTACATTTATTTGTTTTGTTTGCTTTCAGTTTTAGGGTTGTTGTGTCCCTCCCCCTTCCCAAACCCCCAGTTCTTGTTGATTTATTTTTATTTTTTGATTCACAGACTATCAACTAGACAAAAGTAGGGGAAAAAAGTAATGTTCAGAAGTGTCATTCCTTCCCCTATTCTATACCCCATCTCACCACCCTTGTCATTCCACACATCATGTAGGTAGGTAATCAGTATCATTGGTTTCTGGTTTCTTTTTTTGTTTACAAAAGTAAGCAGGTATATATTTTCCTTTTTAATTACTTCCTTTTGTAATATACAAAAGATAGCATATTATATATTTAATTTTGCACTTCAGTTTTTTCACTTAACAATATATCCTAGAAATAGCTACATGTCAGTTCATGGAGATCTTCCTCAGTCTTTTATTTTTACAGCTGCAGAGTACTCTGTTATTTGGATGTGCCATAGTTTATTAAACCAATCTCCTACATTTGGCTGTTAAGGTAGTTGGCACTACCTTCCAATTATAAATAATACTACAATTAATAATCTTATGTATATGTGTTTTCATATTGTTAAAAGTATATTTTTACTTTAAATTCTAAGAAGTATGATTGGTACATTTGAAAGATAAATGAGTATGTTGCTTGGTTAGTGTATTATTAGTTATCTATTGCTGTGCAACAAATTACCGCAAACTTAACTGCTCAAAATAACCCACATTTATTTCAGTTTCTGTGGATCAGTAGTCTGGGCATGGCTTAACTGGGTCTTCTGTGTAAGGGTCTTACAGGGTTGCAGTCTAGGTGTCTGCTGGGGCCGTGTTCTCACCTGGAGGCTTGACTGAGGAAGAATCTGCTTCCAGGGCCACTCATGTTGTTTCTTTTTGTTTCATTGCCTTTGTAGGGTTGAGGCAGAATTCATTTCATTGTGGTTGTAGGACTGAGGGCCTTGGCTTTTTGCTGGCTGTCAGCTGGAAGCCTGCCTCAGCTCCTGGAAGCAACTTATAGTTTCTTGTGGGCTTTTCTGGGAAGTGGCCAGTTTCTTGTGGGCTTTTCCAAAATGGCCACTTCCTTCATCAAGCCAGTGAGGAGAGTCAAGAGATCAAGCAAACTCTCAACAGAGTCTTATACAGTGTAACACTCATAGAAGTGACATCACCTTTGTCATATTCTGTTGGCTAGAAGCAAGTCACAGGTCCCACATACTCTCAAAGGGAAAGGGAGTATAAAAAGTCATGAACAGCAGATGGGTAAGAAGCATGTGGGGGACACTGTGAGTCTGCCACAATTATTGCTACATTTCCCTATGAAGGTTGTATTGTTTTGCCTTCTTACCAGCAATGTATGAAAGTGCCTGTTGACTTACAGCCCTGACAATCATATATACTAAGCTTTTGAACTTTTGCCAGTCTAATGGGTAGGAATTGTAAATTGTTAAATTTGCATTTCTCTTATCATGAGTGAAGTTGAACATCTTCCTATATTAAAGGTCCATTTTATGTCTTTCCTATTTTGAGAATATTCAAGTCTTTTTTCCCTGTATTTTTTATTGAGGAGGAATGCATATAACAAAAGTAACCATTTTAAAGTAAACAATTTAGTGGCATTTAATACATTGACATTATTGTTCATCCACCACCTCTATATAATTACAAAAGATTTTCATCAACCCAAAATAAAACCCCATACCAAGTAGGTGGTTACTCCCCATT